ACCAAGGGTGGGTAGTAGTGAAGTAGTTGTAGTTCGCTACTGTAGCGAACTACAATTTTCAAGTAGCCAGTAGTTTTTGACTACTTTTTTAAAACAGTAGTTGTAGTTATAGCGAACTACATTTTGCCTAAAAGTAGCCAAGTAGTTGACTACTTTTCAAACAGCGAATCGCTATTCGCTACTTTCTAAAATTGTTAGCAACTTGATAGAATAGAATGATATTGAGACACGGTTTGCTTAAAATCAATACTCAATAGTCAATTTGCACTCTTGAACACTGTAGTGCTTACAAAAATGTTGCTTTGTGTTTACTGTTGCTACTCATAAGTCGATTTGTTATAGGTTACATTTCAGCCTGAGTTAGTAGATGCTCCAAATACAGTAAAACTAAAAAATATAGCGTAGCGAAATAGCGAAATAGTTCGCTACATTTTTTAAGCAGTAGCTGTAGTCAGTAGCGAACTACCTTTGTTCAAAAGTAGCAGTAGTTGTAGCTGACTACATATTTTTGAAGTAGCTGTAGTTATAGCGAACTACAAAAATTTTGTAGTCAACCCACCCTTGATATTTTCAAGTGTACGAGGTTAAATAAAATAGTCGCTTATTATATATAGTGAGGTTGGTTCAATATATATATATATATATATATATATATATATATATATATATATATATATATATATATATATATATATATATATATATATATATATATATATATATATATTTATATATATAATTTCCATACCCAGCGCAAGCAGAAAGATGTTGTCTGCCGCGGCTGCGGGGTGTTTGTAAAAGCCGGAACCCCACCCGGAACACCCGGAACCCCTCCCGGAACCCTACCCGGAACACCTGGAACCCTACCCGGAACCCCACCCGGAACACGCTGGAATACGAGCTATGAAGCAACGCACGTGTTTCTCTATAAATTCACGTGTTTCGCATTAAATTCGGGGTGATAGATGGTTACGATCTTTACTTTTTACTTGTATTGATGTTTTTTTAAATAATTTTTCTCATGGGCAAGGATAAATATATTATGTCGGGTGGTACAGAATATCAAATGCATGAGTATTGCTTGTTTGTAAACGTGCAAACGAAGTTTTGCTCGAGGCTTTTGCCGCATGTACTATATTTCAGTTTCGTTTTCAATATTCTGCCGTACTATGTACCTGTGACTCTATTCTAAATTTAGTTGAACAATAACCAATATTTAACTTTGCTATCTTTTTTATTATTTGAATAAAATGTTTGCATATGGTTATTTTGACTTGCAATTGTATGAAACGGCGCCATGTGTACCCTGGATTCCAGAGCCTTCGACAGTAAATAATAAATTGAAATGTCGCGAAGGCTCTAGTTCAACGGGGCGATTCTTTGATTAAACCGAGCCAATCACAAAACAGAATTAGTGGTTTTAGTACAGATTCTGTACTAAATCCACTAATTCTGTTTTGTGATTGGCTCGGTTTAATCAAAGAATCGCCCCGTTGAACCAGAGCCTTCGCGACATTTCAATTTATTATTTACTGTCGAAGGCCTGGAATCCAGGGTACGCCATGTAGGAATTTAGAGGAATTATAAAGTTCATCCGTATTTATTACAATACGAATTCTCGTGGATTTTGGAAATTTTTCATGGATTTCTTTACTAGACTTACTCGTTTTTTGGAACTTTGAAAGACGTTTTAGTAATTTGAAGGCTGCTTTGTATATGACAATGACTGCAGCCTACAGTAAAAGTGCACGCGCGAGATCTCAGAATAACAGTATTATTAAGTAAGCCCCTTTGATGAGTGTGTACGGTCTTGGGGCAAAATCATTCTCATTTATCAGAAATATGTTTAAATAAAGTAGCTAATATATTATATGTATTGCTAGAAATTCCCAAAACATTCATTTGTCATTGAAAACGTTAACAACCAACAAGCAGGATGATGTCATATAAATATAGAGCACGAGGCAAAACGTCCATGTTCCTTCGATCAACGGCAGTAAATAAATATTGTATTTAATATATTAAATTAAGGACTGTGTTGCTGTTGAAGTTATAACATGAACGTTTT